TTTGTAATATCCTTGTTTCTTCTTTGTATTATTTAAATAAATATTCATAGTTTACTGCAACAAAAGGTAATTTAATAGTATTAAAAAAATTCATTCTAAGTAAATAGTTATTATATTTCGAAGAATCATATTACGGGAGATATATTTTTAATAAGCATTATTAGTGTTAACCTATATATATCATTAACAGAAATATGACTATATCCAAATTTGTTGTGAATTTACGTTTAATAATATTAAAATATTGTATTTTTTATCTCCTTGTTTCTACGTATTAATTAATGTATAACGATAAATAGTATAAAAATAATACATGTTATTAATGTGAAACATAACAGTTCCTACGATAATAGTAATAGGATGAATAATATAATTGAGCTCAAAATAATAAAGGAAAAAAAATAAATTATCAGTAATAAATTTAAAAGACTTCGTCATTATATTGATGGCTATATATATTAATTTGTTTTTATGTAATGCATAAATAAAAAATCATTTTGTGTTTTTAGCATCTATAGTATTTTAATCATTGATTCGAAAAAATAGAATATATTTTTTTTACATATATTATATATGGTATTTCTCTAAGTATATATTATTTAATACAAATATATGTTCGACTACATATTATTCAAAAGTATAATACATTGCGTGGTAATTCACTTGAATATTATACATATGTATTTCATAAATTATTTAATTCATCTAATAAAATACATAATTATTGAATAGTTTTATTTCAGAATAATAAATAAAATGTTATTATTGTTTTATTCTAATTCTTTATATAATATTATTCCCATTTAAAATTTATTTCATAATCATTTGTTTCTAATGTAATATATTTTAATATTACATTTTTCTCTGTTACCACGTCAATATGAAAATTTTGTATACTCTTTATATAATTAATTTTTTTTAAGCATTAACGAAAATATATTTGAATGGAATAAAATAAATTGGTCTATTGTATGTTTGTCTCATTTTAAGTAGAGTAACACAAAAAAATCATAGTTTCTAAATATATTTCTTTTAACATTTATTTCTGTTCTTTTATTTGTGGATATATGCAGGCTTAAATAACGAATTGTAAATATAATAAGAAAAATAACATATTTTAAAATATATTTCTTCGATGAAAGAATTATATTAATTAATATTTATTTTTGAGAGCTTAAAAACTTGTTTTATCTTATTCTACATTAAGAAAATTTAAAAAGGTATCAATGATATAAAAAAAAATTGAGATCAAAATTAGAGATTACATGTAATAATTTTTATTTACTATAAATTATATTGAACTGAGTTACAATTATTTGCTTCTGGAAACTTATAATAATATCTTTATATATGTGCATCTAAATCAGCGCAAATTTCATTTTTATTGTCATTACTATACAAAACTGTACCTTTCGCATATTTTTTAACACAAATATTATCATTTTAAGAATTTCTATCTACAAAAGTATTAATGTTATATAGAAGTTAATCATAAAACTCTTATAATACAGCGAGGACCTTTATTTCAACTAATACTTCGTTATTAATATATTATATATTTATTTTGTATATAAATACATCGCTAATAAAAAAAAATTATTGACGTATTTAAAGCATCAGTGTATGAACGCAATTTATTTTTAATATTTTTTTTAAAACTCGTACTTTATGTTCAACATAAAAAATAGGACTTTCGCATTTATTACTTTATCAGGAAATATAATGTTCTATTTATAACTCATTTAACAAGATATTGGGAAAAAATGAAATTTCAATAGCTCTAACTACTTTTGTGTTTAGTACTTTATGCTATACTACAATCTTATTAATATATTATACTTATCCTTGTAAAGTTATCTTTATATATATTAAATGCAAATACATATTTTTATTAATCATGAAAGTAAAATATATAATAAACAATAACTATATTGATACTATAGGAATTATTTTTATACACAATCGTGATATATTACATTCATATTTTATATATTATATAACTGTAAATAATTAAATAAATTTTTAAATAAATATATAGTAAACATCATCAATAACTTAATGAAATAAAAACTTATATTTCTGTAATATATGCTTGAAAAAATTACGTGTGTTTTTAATTTAATATAACGAAATATTACCAATAATTGTCACATTCGTGTGAAATGTAGAACGATGATAACAATTTCATGAAAAAGGTGTCTGTTTTTTTATGTATTTGCGTATTCCAATAAGTGTAGTTATTTAATATATATCATTAAATTTATTGGAATACAAACATACATAAAAAAATGCATAATTGATATGATGACATAATAATTAATTATATAACATCGGAATTCAATATTTACAGTGAAAGGAAAAATTCTTTTATTATTTTCCTTTATTTAGTAATATTTATTCAATAATTTAGTTAACATTATATATTAAATTCTCATATATAACTAACAAAAATATATTTTGTTATAGAAAATTATATAATCTATAAAGTATTTTATAGTAACTAATATTCTATACTTTGTAGGGGGATGAGGAATAACTTAATAATTTTTTTAAATTTTTCAAGTAAAATCATATTATATTTAAGTTCTACATAAGGAAATCCTGAATCCATGAATGTTTCATGTTATACATTTCATAAAAAAACATTTATTCATTTTATATTAATAAATTTAATGACATTCAATAAAATATATAAACGTATATTGCATAAGGTGCTGTGATAATTTATTGTAAAAAAAAAAAATTCATATATATCCTTTATGGTATGCTAAAGCAAATTTCTTAATACGATTAAAATAATAAATTTATGCATTAAATTATTTAATTTATTATTCTCAGAACTACTTTATCTTATATTTGTACCCAGATATAATTGAGATAAAAAGTGAAAAATAATGTTTCAGAACTTTCAAGAATTCAGAAAGCAATTCTCATTATATATGATTTCAAAATCATTATGTTATTATCATAAAAATACTTGAATATCCCATACAAAGATATTTAAAATTAATATTCAAATAATTTCTTATAAATTTAACTTTTGTAATATATATATATATATATTAATTATAGCAAAATTTAGTTAAATGTACAATTAAATTTAAGGAAAAATAAAATAAATATTATGAAAAAAAATAAATTATTATTATTTTTTTTTTGAGCATATTGTTTTATTTTATGTCTACAGTTCTCAACTAGTTATTACAATAACATATAATGTTATAATATATTAACTGCAGTAATTTGCGAATTTATTTTTCTAAATAATAGACTGTAATATTTTTATTAATACATTATATTTTCCTATTTCATTATATTACAAAAATTATTAATTATAATATATATATCATAAGAAATTGTAAATATCTCCATATTACATATTTAATTAACGCGAATATTGATAGTGCCTTATATAGTTGAATTTATAATAATATAATTATTGTATATGTAAGAAATTTTATCATTATATATTTCGATGTAGCGTATATTAACAATGATCCTTACATGAATGAATAATTCAAAATATATTATATTCTTAATATTATACTGAAATTGTTGTATTCAGTTAAAACTAAAAATTTTATGAAAATTAGCAATTATTTTCTAATTTATATAATATTAAGTGTCTGAATGATATATAAAATAATTTTCATTTTGTGATTTATAATTCATAAATAAGACTATGTTTTCAGAAAATATATTAAAAAATATAATATAATATTTTTATATTCTTTATTATGTTTTTTTTGAGAGAAATGTGTGAAATATATACTTTTATGGTACACTATCCATTTAAATGTAGCAATAAAGTAAATTTATAAGAACGTTTGGCTAATAATGTCTATTAAAATAATCATATTAATAACAATTATAAAATTCACGCATTTATTTATAGTTATTTATAAAACCTTAATATTATTCCTAATATTAATTTATTTTACATTCAATATTTCATATGTAGTACTTAGTAACAATGATATGAAATAAAACAATGTTCAAAAAAAAGCATAAAAAAAAATAATAAATATATATAAAATTATAAAATGTAACCTATTTATGAATATAACCTAATTCAGGAAACATATATTAGCCATACATTAATTATTATTATCTAATTTATATATAATTGCTATTTATGTGTCTTTTCCGTTAGAAAGTACAATAAATGATAATATATAATAAGTGTATTAATTGTATACCATAGAGTGAAAAATATATTATTTCAGGTTTTGCATTAAATTTCTATGTTTGTATATAAAAATTATCAAATATTCTATTAAATAAGATTATGTAATTCCAGAAATACATGTATATTTTATATACATATTTAATATATCAATATATGTAATAATTTGCAACAATATTTCATATTGTGATATAAAATCATTTAATACACGTATATTATGAAATAATATATGTATATTCCTTATAATATTTATATATTATACATGAAAATTAAAATTTTTTTATTTTATTAATGGCCTCTCCTTTTTAGTAAAATAAAGAAAGGACCAAATTTTAACACTAAAACTTATTAACTCAAGTAATTTATAATTTAAACATTACTTTATAAATTTAAATAAAGATGAAAAAAAATTATTTTTTTATAATTTATATTAATTATATATTTTGATATTATTATTTTATCATTCTTACTATTTTAGCTATGTTGTTAAATTTTGATATAATAGACAGATATAACAGTTTATTTTAACATATAGTTTATTTTTTATTATTATACTTGAAACCTATCTATGTTATATTTTTTTCTTAATATAATTCAGGAAATATAAACTATTTAAAAAATAGTTTATGATATGTTTTATTCTATTTAATAAATATTGATCAATCTGACAAATTATGTTTTTACATAAATTCTATAATTAGAAAAGAATGAATAATATTATTCTGCATAAGATATACCATTAATTTTCTAATTTCGTATTTTTATATTTATAGAATTTTTTCTTATTTTTAATTTATCAGAAAAAAATATAATAATGCCTGATCTGTACAGTAAAAATGTAAGTTGTAATAATGATAATATAAGTGAAATCATTATAAATCAAATATATACAATTTTACTTCAATAATTGTAATTTTTCTAAAGATAATATATACTTTTTTCTTACTAGTATGCTATTGTAGAAATATTTCCTCAATATAATAAAATTATAGAAAGATATAATGATGTTCCAAAAAGTGAATTAAATTATAATTGCAATTCAATTACATTACCACCATTAGAAGGTATTTATGTAGACTTTGATCAAGTATGCCGACAATCTAAATCCTATTTAAATGACATTTATCATAACAAGGATAACACACTGAAAGAGGTTGCTTGCAAGTACTTATATTTTTGGATATATGATAAACATTTTAAGAATAAATATAGTACGCATATCCAAACTATTTATGAAGAATTGATAGAAAAATCTGGTTATTCCAATAATATGTGCCAAAATTATAAAATTATTGAATTTACCGATGTTGATCTTATAAAGATAAAAAGTTTTTATGATATGTATACATGCCATTATAAAATAAAAAATAATGATATATCTTATAAACAAGATGAATTTTGCCATGCGTTAAAAAAAATTATAGAAGAACATAACATACAAATGGAACCTAAAGATTGTGGTAAAACTATAACAAAACAATTAACACGTGAAAGCAATAATATTAAGGTTCCTATTATAATTACAACTCTTGTAACTTTATTAATATCATATTCATTATTATATGTATATAAGGTAAACTATGATATTATATATGTATATACATTTATTATAAAATATTTTTTATAAATAATATTAAAAAAAAGACAAATTTCATAATAGAAAACATAGTTTTATTATATATATATCTATTATTAAAAATCAGTTAACCAAACATTGTACATGGTTCCAAAGTGCAATAAAAATTATAAATAATAAATTGAAATATAAAGCTGAAGAAAGTAATATATATTTTCCTTCTAAAATGTCAAATAGTGCTTCAAGGAGTAGAATATATGATATATTTTATGAATCTACTTAATTTATCCATAAAACTTTATAATTTAAAGGATGTGTATTGTTTAAACAATATGCATAAAAATTGTAATGAAATTATATTGTATAAGCTTTTTTCTCAATAATATTGTATATAAATGAGAGAATTTTGTTATATATAAAGCAGAAATAAATATTAATTTTATAAATTTATTAATATAATATTTCAAAAAATATAACTAATAGCATTTTCCATATAAGTACATTAATGTATAAATACTGTATATTATATCAATAAATTTACTTTCTTTTTTTATTTTAATATAATGTAGATTATATGAACAAGTTTTTTACGTATATAAGTGTATATTATAAATAATATAATAACACCAAACATAAGCCAAGTTAGTATTGAATATGAAAATTACAACTTCTATTATTACGTTATTGCATTTTATATAAATTACTTATATTTATATTTATTATATTTTATTATATATCGTTATAGGTTTGTGAATTTACATTTATTTTACGCGCATCTATAAATAATTCTGAAATATAATTTCTTTCTTTAATTCTAAAACTGGGTTCTAATGTTGAACATTCTATATAACCATACATCAATTATATAAATATCTAAATATTATTTTATATAAGGGCTATTATAGTCTGTAAGGACACACGTTATATTGTGTTTTTTATATGTTATATTTTTTTTTGTTTTATTATAAATAGAATATTAGTTTTTACTTTACTTCATACTTATTATTTAACTGATATAGAAAATACTTACAATTTATAAGTACGACGATAAATTCATATGTATAAAGAACTACATTGAAAGGAATATTTATATATTTATTTATAGGACGCTGTAAGAATATGGAAAAAATAGACACTACATATACCAAATAGGTAAGAATGATAAATTATATTTTCAGAACATAATATCTTGTTTTCATTGAATTTAATATTACTTTATATAAAAATACAAAAAGAAAAAATAAATGGAATTTATTTTTTTTTTATTTTGCATATAAATTTTTTACATTAATACAAGTACAGAAATTCGATCATATACGTGTTTTATTATAAATAAATGATTAAAGGAACTAATATAAATATAACATATAGTACAGATTTAAAATATTAGTTAGTCTGTATTAATAGGATTTACAAATGAAAAAATCAGTACTGTTTGTATTAGATTTAAATCTGAATATATTGCATTTATTCTTGTCCTAATAAAATACTAAAATATACTTTAATTAAAAAGTTCATGTGAGAGGTTTTCAAATAATATATGTAAATATGGTGTGAGAATAACCATAATGTGTGTCTTAATTAATAATACTTATGCCACATAAAATTATGAATACACTGTGTAATGAATATCTTAGTATAAAGAAAAATAGGTAAAAAAAAATATTATGTATTATTAATAAACAAAAAGAATAAAATTTATATGATTTTTATGTACTTCTTTTTATAACATAAATATACAGATTTATATATTTCTATTACATAAAAAAATATATATATTCTAATATTATAATAAAAAGTAACAATTTACATTTATAGCAGTTTATTAATAATATGTAATCATTAAATAACGAATAATTATAACATATTAAATGTAACATATTATATTAGTAGGAAATATTGGAAAATATTGTATTTATATTGAAAATAATATATAGCACATATATGATAGCAAAGGAATTTAAAATTTTTTTTCATTATATAAAATTATTAATTAAGTAAAATAGAAGAAGCCAATTTGTAATATATAAATGATACTCACCAAAAAATTTGATAAATAAAGTTTCATATTGCCTATTATTCAAGGAAAGTCAACAAGAATAGTGTAATAAAGTGTAAGATATCATAATTAAAGTATACATTAATCATTACTCAGTTTATATATATTTATATTGTGTTACTTGTTATAACATAATTCATTTTTTCGCTTTATATAAACATATAGGCATAAACTAGTACTGAATACTATAATTTTTAATTAATTCTTAACCATGCCTTATATAACTTGTCTATTAACAAAATCTTATACAAGAAATAAATTTTTTATACAATGTGACAAAAAAAACTTATATAAAGTTAATTCTTTATATTTAAAAGTTAAAAAATACATATTCAATATTTCAAATTTTTTTAACGTTAATTTTCTTCTGAAATTATTTTAAAAATATAATTGATTTAGTAAATAATACGTATATATATATATATATATTTTATTTTTACTTTATTAAAAATATTTTATATTTATTTTAATTTCCTATTTATATATTAATTAAAAAATACATTTGCATAAATTATTTTTATTATAAAATGTTGAATAATATTTATATTGTCTATTATTATAAAAATAATAATATTAAAAAATATAATGATATCTAAAAATTGGTGTCTCATTATGTGTACCCTTTTTACAAGAAATTTAATTTTATTAGAAAATTTATTTTATCATCCAAAATAATAATCCTAGATATATAAATGTATTTACTCTTTTATAGATTGACAATAAATATTGCTTCTTTTATATGCATAATTCGTATTATTATTTCTATAACATTCACTTTATTTGTATGTTATATCACCGTTAAAATCTACATTTAATTTTTTTTTACTACGTATGTATTTCATAATTTTCTTTCAAGTGTGAGTATCAATTAAAAAAAAAGAAGATCAATTATTTATATAATTGTAAAGCTTTTAGTATTAAATGTTTATAGAACATGAATTTCTACTGAAAAAATGGAATAATCCTATATGAATAGAAAAATGATTTAATTAATTTCTGTAAAAAACAAGGGAAACTATAGTTCGAATAAACTGAAAACAAACTTTAATGGCAATATTGTATGTATATTACGAACATATGCACGAGCATTTTTTTATTTGTATTATGAATGGTAAATCAGTGATGTCAATAAAATAAGATGTATCAGTAGCGTAAGTTTGTTCCTAGGAGGCAAAAAGGTAACATAATTTTTTTTTACAGATAGAGCATTTATTTATATTTTTTTTCACTTATATTTTCTAATTTGTATTTATTCTTTCTTAATGTTTCAGTATATTCTTAATTTTCAGAAACATTTATATATCACATAAAAGGACGTATCTGCTCATGAAGATTTCCCTTGAAATATGTATCACTTTCAGAACACTTGTACATTTTATTAAATGACAACTTATGCTACATGAATTTAATATATTTTTCTCATGATTCCACATATTTCTTACATTTTCTATAGTGTGTAAAAAGACTCATTTTTAGGTCTAAACATATATTCAGCATTTCACAAACAATACGATTACTCCATGTTCAAGATCGGATAAAACATTCTTTATTATATTTATGAATCTTAATTAGATATAAAGAGTTGTGGATTAAATTACGAATTCTATATTTATTTATTATATATGTGAATTTCTACAGATGTTTTGAAATTAGTTCTATCTTGATCAAACTTTTGATAAAAATAAGGAATACAATTTCGAACGTGTTTATTTTAAATAAAAAATTATATTCATTTATAAAAACTTGTAAACTCTGCAAAATGTATAAAATATTGGTTTAAAAAGAAATGTTTACATCAGTAATATACTTATATTATTATATAATTATTTCGGGGATAAAATAAAATTATGTCATGATAATTATTGGTGCAATTTAATTCTGTCTTTTTATAACGAACACATTACACGTTGAATGATTGGTAGCATCAAATATATAATTTATACATAAATATAACAGCTTATAAGAAGTATTTCTTTATATTAAATTACAAATATAATTGATAAACATTATATTTTTGTAATATGATTAAATTTATTCTACAATGTAATAATTTTATTCTGTACAGGCCATGTAATTTATTAAAAATTAATAAAAATTTAAGCATTTGAACTTATATAGAATAAAAATATAACTGAATTGTAGATTCTAAGAAAAATTATTTATATACCGTTATAATAGAACTTTAATATAATAATACATTAATTTTTTCATAATTCCTGATATTTAAGAAGTACTATATATACATAACCATACAGAATACACTAAATAAGTTAGGAATTCATTATATACGTACAATAACCTGATGAAATAAATAAAAAATAATTTTATTAATAATATTTCTTATTATATATGAGATAATTACGTACATTGTCTGATTAATTATTGCTAACTATTTTGTGTTATATTTAAATATTATATGTTAGAAAATACAATAGATAATTAAGAATGTGTATAATATTCTATATTATTTAAATAGAACTAATTGATTTTTATATACTAAAAGGTATATTATTTTGACATAAAATTATGTGTTCGGATTAGAAAGTTGAAACAGAAAGATTAATTAGACTAATGCTTTAATACTTTTTTCTTCATGTTATCAACAAAAATCATATGCCACACTTACATGATAATAGTTGTAATTCAACTGAATTTGATATATATATGAAATAAAAATTTTTAAGTATAAAAATTATGCATAATATTAATAACAAGTAAATTATGTTTAAATGAAATTCATATAGTTAAATTACGAATAATTTAATACGGAAGAAATGATAGTGTATAATAAAAACAAAATATATATATTTATATATTTACCATTTAATTGTAAATATTATATAATGAATAAGTTTTATAGAGTAAATTTTTGTATAATTGATAATATTAATTAAAAAGTATGAAATAAATAATGCGAAAAAAAAAAATAAAAAGTGTATTAATAAAATAAATACATATATTTATTCATGAAGTGTACAATTATGTTATAATTCTATAATAATGTAAGAACAATAATATATTATAGTGCGTTATATATGCATATTTTATATAATCAATCATTGTTACACAGTCATGATACATATTTTACTGGTTTCTTTTTAATTCTTTAACTATTATATACAATATAATTATATAAATAAGAACTTACATGTCACTAATTTCTATAATATTGCTCTTCTACCTAATATTATGTTTAAAATACATTAATGTTCTATGTATTATACAATTTTCTGTACGAATGAGAAATTATTTCTTATAATATGCTTATAATTGAATAATTAAATGATGTTTTCTATTTAATCCAACTAGTGTCGTTGTAATAGCGTAACAACGATAGGATTGATTATGAACTATTTGTGATACAGAAAAAATAATTATATGAATGGAATATATACATGAATTCTATTTTTATCATATATACACCCTATATTTTTCAGGTTATCTGTAACGAAGATTATATTAATATTAAAAAAAAAAAAAAAAAATTTATTTTAATTTCAATAGAATGCCTGTAATGTTATATAATTATATTTTCTTTTTATTTCATTATTTATTGAAGTAATTATATAAATAATAATTTAACAATCCAATAGTTTCTTATATTTATGACTTGTATGCCATTTTGATAAAATATGTAATTTTTATAATCATAATATTATTTATTCATTAATTTTGTTATCTCTAATATATAAGTAAATGTACAAAATTATATAAATACTTATTCATATATTTAGATATTATGATTTATAGTTAAAAATATTTTATTTATCTGTAGATAAAACAATATAAATTTTATCAAATTTTATGTCTTTCAAAACACACTCTAATAAACTGATAAATAAAATGCGATAAAAAAAGCAATTGTATACTTGTTTAACATAAATTTGAATGCATATGTATGATGAATTATGTACGTTAATTTTTATTATTAACTAAGAACATATATATTACTAATATTTTTTTTTTTCAATGTTTTTTTCCACGTACATAAAAATCATGAACTCGTATATTAATTTATATATATGCTAAGGAAAAAAAAAAAAATTTTTAAAATACATTTTATTTTATATTTATACAGATAATTCATGAAAAAGAAATATATTCTGTATAATTTTATTTTTTAATAGGCTTTAATATTATCCATAATTATAAAATTAGTGTTATTGCTTGTGATATGATGATATAAATAATTACTCCATGTTTTATAAGGTAATACTATAAATATTTCCCTTACTTGAAATTAGTAAATATCATTAGAATATTACACAATAGACACCTTATCCTTCTTACAATATATTGCTGAATATAGAATATATTCATCATTTTATTTATTTAGAAATAATTAACCATATAAATACCTGAATATTAATAATTAACTAATTATATTTACTTATTCTATTTATAGGAAACCTGGTGAATTTTATAAATAACACGTTATTCCTCATTTAATAATTAGGAGAAATTAAAATTTCATAAATTTTTAAAATAAAATATTAATTCTTTTATACGTAATGGTAATTATAACAAATAAAATTTTAAATATATGTATTTTTTTAAATACTTTATGCCTTTAATTTTATAATTGTTACATTTACATATTTTTAAAATACATAAACATATATATTATATATTTAATAAGGATTTAAGATTTTGTTTATATGTTTCCAAGAACAAATACATCAATGAATTGTATTTTATGTAAATGAAAACAAAATAAAAGTAAAATATATGAGATTTATTATGATATTATTTCAAATTTATTAAATTTGTATAATATATTTATTAGATACTTAAAGCTTAAAGGACACTTTTATAAAGATGTTTAATATGCTTTTATGTTAAATTATAAATATTAAGCTAATAAATGAATATTTCGAAATATTTTCATTTGTGCCTTATATCATAATATTTTCTGGAATACTACGTAATAATTATGATATAAAAAAAACTCTATTATTCAGGATGATAAGCTATGCGCGGTTGTACACTAGCAGAATTAGCATTTTCGTATTTTTCCTTAAACTTAATATCTTCCCCTATATGTTCTTTTTGTAGACTATATTTAGTTTTTCTTCTCTTTGCGAATTTCCTTTGTAAAAATAATCCTAAAGGAGTAAACTAAAGAAAAAGTTAATAATATATAAAATATATCATATTTTCATTGAGCGTTTTTAAAATTTTAATAAAAGTATATTATACATAGTAATTAAATACTTTTATATTTTTGAACGTAATTCTATATTACTTTGTAATAAATAAAAAAAATAAGAAATGTTCCTAAAACTGTGAAAATAATATAAATAATAACATCATAATATGGAAAATTTATGGATCCTGGTTGTATAACTTGTATTTTTTTTTTAATAACATTTATGTCCTTATCAAGTGGTGCATTATCTTCGCATACTATTTCATCTGATATGTAATCGCCCCTATTAGATCTTCTATAACACTTAAGATTCTCAAGAGTTTTTTTAACTCTAGTATCAGCAAAAAGATAATCTTCTATTGAATTTTTACTTGAACCATCATGTAAATTATTTAACGATGAACTTCTACTTATTTCAGTACTGCATTTAAATTTAATCTTATTAGGATTATTGTCGGCATCGCAGTTAAAATAATTCGCACAAGTACCCCACAGACAACAGTCATAACCATCATTATCATACCTGTACTTTTTATATAGTGTTATAATATAATCAAGGTACTTAGAATAGTAATTACAACTATTAGTGTTGGAAATAATAATATCCTTAATACTTTCAGAATTTTTAAAGAAATCAAACAGATGCTTCTTTTCTATGCATTCTTTTAAATCACAGTTGATATAATACGTACATGGAGTGTAATTAATTAATTTGTAATAATCAGAAGGTCTCGTTCCAGATAAATTATTATATGGATGCACACCTTTAGAAATATTATGAAGATTTTCTTTAGTCAATTCATGATTAATATTATTTGTTATTTTAAGAAGTTCAATTGCTTCAGGTATATTATGTATATTTTTTTTCTCCATATGAAAAATTTTATATATTTCATAATATGTCCAAAATAAAAAATAAATACATCGATCGACATGTTTTTCATTTTTTAAATTTTCATTTGTTCCCAAATTACTTAAGTTCCGTGAAATTTTTATACAAAGATCAAAAATTCCACAGTATTTGCTATTCAGTGGTAGAATTTTCGAACAATAAGTATTATAATTTACATAATCATTCATTGTAATTTCTTTATTGAACTCTTCATATTTTGTTTGTAGCATAAGCTGTTGTGATACATTTATCTGAATGCGTGAGAAAAAAAAAATATATAAATAATACATTATTCCTTGTTAAAATACTTTATATATTATATAAGAACAATAATATAATATTACAATATATCAATATGAATATTATTTTAATTCATTTAAATAACATACATATTCAGAAATTACTCCAATGGATTCATCTAATGTTGAATTTTCATCTATATTACATGAACTAATTATATCCTTTACGAATTTTTCCAGAGGTTCATTTAAAGAGCACACTTTTTCTCCTACTGATCGATTAAGAAATGATCTACAATTATTAGGACATTTAAAAATTAATTCAGATAACTCAACATAATTAAATATATTTTTAAAATTTTCTAACTCTTTACCATATATATTATAGGGGTTGTTATTATTTTCATTTATTATTTCATAATATAAAGCAAAAATGCTCCTTATATAATCACAATATTTCTCCCTATTGATAAGACCCTCATAACTCATTTTATCCTTTATATATTCATAATATTCTAAGAATTCAAATAATTTTTTCTTTTTTTTAAATTTATCTTCACTCATATGAAAATTTTTTCGATAACATGTGTCATTTGTAGAAATTTCTTTGTTTAATATATCCCACTCATTATATATATCATGAATAGTTTCTTCTGGAAAATTCTTTGTTATTATTTTATTATGCATCCAAAAATTCAAATAATTGCAATAACTATTATTATTCTTATAATGTAATTTAAAAATTTTCAATATATTTTTCCATTCATTCAATATACCTCTGAGGTTATCGAAAAGCTGTTTAATATAAGTATATTCTCCATTTTGTTTCAATTTATCATTTATAATTACATGTTTTTTGTCCTCTTTGTCGAATGCATTATTCAATACATAATAAAAATCATATAAAGGTTTATCTGTCAAAAAGTTATTCTGAAAAAACATAAAAACAAAATAGAAAATATATTTACGCTTAAACACTTTGAAATGGTAAAATATAATTATGATTTATTAACAAACAATATATGCATATATATTACATTAATACTTAAGTTAATTATAAACATACATCTTCTCCTAGCTTCTTAAGGGATTCATGCACGTGAACCTGATCCATATTCATCATTTATTTTTGTCATAATTATAAGAATGTATTAAAATAATAGAGAAAAGAACTACCTATATATAATATATATTATTTTTAATTATATTATATAATTAAGCATTTGTTAAAAATACATTATTCTATTTTTTATAATTTTATTCAGTAACATGAAAAATTAATATCATTCAATAATTAATTTGAAGTTTTATGAAGAAATATAAATTAGTATTATAGCCCTTCATGTGGAAGTAACATTATGCTTATATGTTAGAATTTTATGCACCATTATTTTACTTTTTTAGTAAAAAAAATGCAAATATTCTATATAAGTATATGTAATCTATTACTATAATCACGCCTAGAAAAAAATGCAATGAAATTTGTTTCTAAAATATAAATATTATAATTAATAATAGCATATGAGAATTTCATAATTTTTAAAAAAATATCTTATATATTTTTATATTAACGAATTTTACTACTTAAAAATTAAAATAATTACTTTTTAACTAATCCACATATTTAATTTAAATATTCTGTTAGTATGCTACAACTAATTTATCATAAAGCTAATAGTATTTGCTAATAGTTTGAATTACATTATATATATAAAAAATATTAAGAATAAATAAATAAAATATATAGAAAAAATCATAATAAAAAATTTTTTTTATTAAAAATGTTGTTACGGAAGCATATTTTAATTTAAAGTAACTTTAATGATAACGTTTCTCTATTATATATTAATTTACTTGTACTAATTATTGTTAAGAATTTATCCATATAAAATAAGATTTATTTCTTATTTATATAATAACTAACGGAATAAGTAAATAAATCTATATTTTATTGTAATCAAAATACGTATAACATATAAAAATAAATTTAAAGAAAAAAAAAGTATTGTAATAATAAAAGAGTTTTAATGTTACATAAGGACAGAAAAAAAAAATAAATAAATAAAAAAATACCTTAAATAAAATGTACATACTGTTTAATCATAAAAATATATTTAGAAATATACATATATTCAATTTCATTGCATAATAATAATAATTTATTATACAGTAACATTTATATTATATTAAATTTTGTACACTTAATGATTCATTTTAATTCTAAAATATATATGATAATTTTACGCTAGTAAAAAGATTAAAATTAGATAAAAACTATAATAATTTTAGATATATTATGTAAAAACATGAAAAATAATTACATGATAATAATCATTAATTAAATTCTATTAACCAAATTATATTCTCCTTAAATACTAATTCCTATAGACTTTTTTTGTAAAATGTAAATATATGTATTAAAATATGTTCATTCACTGCAGATATAGCACATAATATATTATGATGATTTTAATATGTCTCACATATATTATTTCAATGAACTCTGTTCAATATATTTTTTAGGTACCTTTTAAACGTTATATTTAACTTTTTTTTGTTATTTTCATTCTAAAAAACATATATTACTAAATTTATATTATCAATACTCAAATAATAGTTCATTCATATATACAAAATATCTACATTATTTTTGAATAATATATCAAGATTTTATAATAAACGTTAATGTAATGTATTTATCTATACTGCATATCATAATTTAAACATATGTAACATATAAATTTTTTTTTTTAATTGAAATATATAAAAAAAAGTAATTACATTAACGTAAATATTGTTAAGAAACTTTTAATCAATATATTATTCATGTCTTATGATTAGTGTTTTAGGGGGTAATGTTTAATAAACATTGCTTAATTTTCATTATATTTTATTAATTTCTTATCTTTTTGTTATTTCTTATTCATATAAATTTTGTCTCCAGTTTAATATATGTATATAAATGTTATAGATTTTGTGTTGTATGTGTTTAGATACATAATACGTATTTTAATTTATTATTAGTCATATTTATATATTAAATAAATAATTTCTACATTCTATGGAGAATAATAATTTTTACTTTTATTTTTAACAAAAAATGATTTGTTATTCCATTTTTATATAATTCGTTGTTATAATATATATAATATATAGATTTTTTATAAACATTTCCAAGGTCAAGTCATTTAAAACTAATTATTTCATTTTATTTTGTATATAAAAAAAATACATTATGTCAATTACAATTATATATGATACTTTTTCAATTACTATATATTTTTCGTATACAATTATGTTTTTTAGTAGTAATAAAAACCTTTAATAAAATAATTATATTATAGTAACTAATCTTTTTTTTGGAATATTATACAACTATACTATTTTTTTTATTTTTGAATTATTTAATTGTTTATTATTTTTTAACGTTTGCTCTATGGATATTGAATTATTTCTTTTATAATGAAATATATTTATTTTTACATTGTTTATATTTATTACATACATAAATTTGTGTACATTTTAATACAGAAATATAAGCATTTACACATAACCCTTTCTTGTTAAACCTATAGATTTATGTTTGTAATAAAATTTTAATTGTTATTTTAGAAGCATTCGATAATTATTTAATGATATGAGATATAGTATTGGGTTTATTTCGGAATATATGAAAAATAATATTTAGGATAATATTGGTCCCTTGTTGAACTAACATGAATCTAAATTATACAAAAGTTTTGTAAAAAGAAATGTATATTAGTTCAGTATTTAATTTGCAACTGTTGGTAAAAATTAAGCTATATTATATATTTAAAAGAACAATGGACTAATATGTTAAATATATTTATAAGCAAATTATATATATATTCTAAGAAATAAACATGCACAAATTCCATGCAAATATAGGATTTAAATTTAATGTAAATCTTAATAATTATAAAAATAATTATCATTTTGTAAAGAACATAATTTGTGTTTTCCGCTTTGTTATTTATGATACTTTCATTAATTAATGAATAATTTATGAAAAATATTTATATAAAACAATTACTCCTGTTAAATTTAGAATGGATATAGTTGTTCAATTTCATAAATTTTGGACAATTAGATCATCATAATCCTTAATAAAAATTCATTAATAATAATATAACTTAAATACCTTATGAAATGTATTGTAGTAGCGAATCCAAATTGTTCAATTGTGAAACAAATAAAAAAATTACTTATACTCACTGAAACAAGGAATCTTGCTAACAGCATCAGAGTTAAATTAAGATAATATGTAAATTCATTTAGTATAGTATTTGTCCTTAGAAATTCAATTTGATTATATGTATTCCGAAATATCAAAAAATCACGATATGATCCATAATACTTCATCGCTTAGGAAAAGTTTATATTTTGCCTTATGTATAGTGACAAGTAACTATAAAAAAAAATGTATAATTTTTTTTTCTTATGTTAGTAAAATAAGGATAAAATTGTACATTATAAATATAAACTATAATATACTTTTTATATACATAATTATCACCTTCTGTAGGTTGTTTAAATACACAGGGGGAAATAAATAAGGAGTTAAACATAATTTTCCTATAAAAACCTGTAATTTAAAGGTGATAAATTAATTAACTTTAATATATGCAAATATAAATTACAAAAAATATATGTTTATTATGTATTTCAGTACTATATTACTTAAGGAAATATAAGTATGAATTGTAGCCTAATAGATCATCTATGTGGGAATATATAAAAATAGAACTTTTTATTTTTTCATGCATATAGTACGATTATACACTTCAAAAAAAAAAAAAAATAGTAATAGTGTATATAATTCCTGTGTACATATATTATATATAAGAACCAAAATAATTAGCATTTATAAATATTTATAACAAAAAATAATCATAAAAATAGTTCTTAATGTCCATCTATTATATAGAAACTATGTTATAATAAATAAATTTAATGCTTGATGAAAAGACAAGTTAGAAAAATTAAAAAAGTATGTTTGCTAAAAATATTTCATTAACATTATTTATATTGCTATTAGTTATTTTAAAATGAAACCATGCATACTGTCTTTAAGTTATATGCTTTCATAATTTATGTAATAAATATTAAACACTCACTCATTATGTTTAGAATATTTTATTGATTCTTGATTTTATTAGATTTATAATATCTTTAATTCAGTGATAACTGAATTAACTATAAAAATTAACTTATTATATTCTCTTAAGTATATGAATTATTTCTTCTACATAATGAATTTTGAAAATGATTAAATATATTTTACATTCCTTTGTTATGATTTGATAGTTATATTTTAATTAGATATAAGTATAATTTTAACAATTTTTAACATAATAATTTATTTAAGCTATTAAGAAATAGTGTTATAAAAACAACTTATGCTATATTTTTATAACAAATAGCAATTGTAATACTAATATCATTCATTTTCAAATATATTTATTGTTTACTTTGGAATCAATAGCACCCATAGACTGTATATAGCAAATATATTATTATTAGTAAAATAATCAAAAAGATAACAACAAAAAAAGTACTAAAAAAATTAGAAATTATAATATATTTATTAATAAAAGCATAATAGTATGAATGTATAAATTCATTAAACTTAGTAAGGTGTGATAAATAAAATAACATAATTTTATGAACACTATATTATTGAAAGCAGTAAATTATGTAATATTAAAAATATAAAGCTCCATAAACAAAAAAAAAAGAATTAAGGATACTATATTAATGCTAATATAATATGTGTATAATCATTAAATTGCTTCAGTGCTTCTTAAATGTTAAATTATTATACCATAATAAAGCATATAATATTAGAGCAACATAAAAACATAAATGCATATATATATACATTTAACATTAATTTATAATGAATACTTAATTTATATTGCATTAGAAAGAATATAGATCGAACTATACAAAAACTATAATTTTTATATATTCAAATTACACTAAATAATAATGAATGATATACATTATTTATCAAGCAACAATAAAATTAACATAATCATCAGTTCATAAATAACAGAAGATGCTCCATGACATTAAAATTTAACAATATATATAATGGTA